TCCATCTTTCGAAAGCGCTCGGGTTATAGGTTTTTTTTTCATTTCTACACAATTATATTTTTATCTGTTGACATAAAATCTTTAAATCTTGATTATATGTAATTAGAGTTAGTTAGAAGTTGTTTTTCACATACTTTGGAAACCGAAGGAAAAGTTTTACAGGAAACTTAAAAAACAAGAAGTTCTCGTAGTTAAGTCTTGCCTAAGCTATATTATTAAATGGTATTGAAAGTGAAACTTTCTTGAAAATTATAACACAAGAATTACATGAAAAAATGCCAAGTTTAAGAGAAGAGTTAAAAAATGATAAGGTTGAAATAATGCCAAAATGCTGTGGATTTTTAGGCACTTTTTATTTTGTTTGTAACAAGTTCTGTTATTTCAGACTTAGTGCAGTTAATATTATCACGTGCCAATGCTTGAGGAGGACTTGGCCCAATGGTTGGCGTGTCGTATTATAGATCTACGGGTTCAACATTCGCTTCACTTTAAATCGAAAAACGAAAAAAATATTGCACTCTGCATTAGGTGCCATAGGTGCATTTTGTGTGTGTGTGGGGGGGGGGGGCAAATCCCATTATTCGATCAGACTGGAGTAGCTCAAGAGTTGGCAATGAGAGGCGTTGACTAGCTGTTTTCTCTGTCGTCTGCCAGTTCAAAGTTAAGGACAGCTAGCGCAAATGTCTCTTGTGCAGTTTTGCGCAAATATCCGAAATAAATAAACCAACCATTGCTTGATAACAATAGCTAACCGGTTTTAACACAAAATAACTTTACATTTATTATTAGACCGAATCAATTCAAGAAGTATTTATATGATATTAATTTCCTTACAACTGACTTAAATTTTAGGATCTAAAAAAATCCTATTTTCGTAAGATTAAAGATGGTATGCAAGCGTGAAATCGGGAGCGATTACCAAAAAAAAAAAAGATTTTTAAATCGAGGATTTAATTTTTCGCTATAGTGGGTGAAAAATCAATGCAAGATGTATTACTACATGTTATATCTGTGTTTCACAATCTCAGTCTATTGGGTAACAGTAATACCAAGTTCAGTCCATGTAACGACAAATGAATTAACTTATTTCTTTTGTATCGTTTGCTACAGGCTATGTTCACTTTCAAACAAGTTGTAGGTTTAAGTTCACAAATAAATTTTGAATAGAAATTCCGAGATTAATGGTACGCCTATCTTACAAATAAACTTACTTACAGAATTTCCTTGCTAATTGATCGATTAACTTATTAGACATGATAACTCTCACTACAAACACTGATCTGAATCACTTACTAAATACTTCACAGAATTCTCATTGAATCCTTCATACACTAATTACTCGTATTTAAAATGTACTTACTTCGTTACTTTAAATTCCACGAAATATCCAGATTACTACGTCATTATCAGCTCTTTCTAGCACACATCTTAATTCAAATATTGAATAATCAGCTTTCAACAATAATTAACGTTGGAAAATCGCATTTTTGAATTTTCAAACGTTACACTTATACTTTACTTTCTTTGCGAAAACGATAACAAATAGTAATGACTTCCTCTGACACAAACTCCACTTGTAATATTTAATAACATAAGGCCTTCTTTTCATTACTCAAAAAGGATAGGCAATTACTGAATTTCTACAGATTTCGAGTCATGTGGAGATCACTTGTTATATATTTTTTGCGGCTATTACTTAGCATTTCATGGCATAAAATCACCAGAAGGAAAAAAGCTGAAGTCTAGTGAAGGTTACTGTGATAGCATTGTTTGTTCCCCTGTGGGTCAGCAATAAGTCTACGGAATTGTAATGCTTAGAACCAGGGTTCGATTCCCCACGGTAGATAGATGTTGATAACTCACCCTTTATGCAGTTTTGTAATAAAACTAAAAAAAAATGTAGTGTTGCCCTTCTGGCGTTGAAAAGCTGAAAATAAGAAAAATAGCTAAATATAGGATTATTTCTTACTTTCTTAGTGCTCACCTCCCCAGTGGCTCAACTGTAAGTATGTAGGTTTACGACGCTAAAAATCGGTTTTCGATACCCGTGGTGGGCAGAAAATAGATAGCTAAGTGTGTTGCTTGGCGCTTAACAACAACCAAAATAAAAAAAATATATTTTCTTAGTACTTACAAACATTCCTTTTTAAAAATAATGAATGAATTAGAAACTGGAATTCTAAATATAATTCCTCGTTTATCATTCTACATTTTATATTGTTCTAAACTATGTTTTCTATGTTTTAATTCAGATGTTAGCGAGGTCGTATGAGATTAAGATCTAGTAAATGTTATAAATACGAGGGAACAGTTAGTTTGCTGAGTGCCAGTATGTTATTTGGATACTTGATGATTTACACGTTTCTTCATTCAGCTAAGTTATTTAAGTTAGACGTACGTCTCGCAGCTTATATTAAAACATTATATTTGCGGTTAGGCCTACATTTAGCTGTGGAGTTAGGGCTAAAACGCTTTCGTGTCCTTAGACATATTATTTGTGTCAAAGTGAACATAATAAAAGGTATACACTAATTTGTTATTGTTATATATAGTGGACTTTGCATTATTTTCACCAAATAATTAACCAAAAATACGCCCTAAGAAAGAACACGTTACAATAATATGAACAATTAATATGATCTTGGTGTAACTGGTAACATTTTATTACAAATCAATTATATTCGTTATATCTTAGCCCCCTCCTCTTCTCCCAGTTGCACAGAAGTATATCTGACGATTTATAACACTAAAAACAGGGTTTCGATACCGCAGGTAACTTTGCATTTAACAACAAATAGTCCAATACAAATATATTTTATAAATTTTGAAATTTGCGTCTCGCCATCTATTGGACAATTTGTAAACAGCTGAGTAAGAATTCTTGTTGTCACTTGATATGAAACTATTGAATTATTATTTTTACATTGGATTTCTTTTCAGATTCAAAAAATTATCAAATATTATATTTTCATCAGTTTTATAGTCCCTATTCTGATATTTTAAACCGCTTAACAGACATGGATAAATAGATACGTTATATCATAATTCTAAGCATATATGTGGGGAAATACAGATTAATTTTATAATATGTCAACAAAGCACAGACGGTTTTCTCATTTCACAAATGAAATAAGGCTGTTTGTAGTTGTGGAATTATGCATTTTGGCTGTTCTTCAAACTATTTTGTTATTTTTGCTATGTTCCCTAGCTTCTTCAAAACATTCTGTTGTTTTGACTACCTGCTTTAGATAATTATATATAGAATTTATCAATATTAAGTTCTCCATGAAAACTTTGATTTGTTTAAAGGGTTTAGTAATTATACTGAATTATATACACATATAAAATAATCGAGTTTTTAAGCGTGGTTCAAATCAGCGTTAATCCATTGAAGATTCGTCAGTTACAGATGTAATCACACTGCTTCCGGTCTTTCGAACTTTCTGGCTGTGAAACTACAAAAGTGACGTAGAAAAGAAATAGTTTTGTGTTACTTTCATGACCTAATTTATTGGTGATGACGTTGTAAACCCATGCAAAAGAACTCTGTTGGTAGGTGTTTATGTCATACAGGACGACAGTTTTCGTACTAATTTTTCCCATTATCAGCCATAATCATTCTTTCAGGCAGACAGTATTTTTATACGTTTTTTTTTAAACATATTAAACAACATATCCTTCGAAAAGTTCTGTTTAATCCCATCAGGTGACACCGGTTATTTACGTAGGAATACTAAATTATTTGTTTTAAGGTTTACAGATATTCCGTTAGCATTTGAAAGGTCAAACTCCTCTTCGCGTTAAAACCGTTCAAAAACGCGTTTGAACAACTCGACTTTTATATGATGACATTTTCTGTTGAAACTAAATGTCATTCAAATAAAAATTATATCGAGGTACTTACCAGATTTTCTTTTATCACGTAGTTTGTATAATTTCAACACAAAAGGTTGTCACATTCAGAAACGAATATTATAGATGAATGAAAAATAAAATATTCTTCGTATGAAAACATGAAAGCTTATTCATATAAAACAAACAAATACATTTATTGATTTGCCTAGGATTTTATTGTTCTACTCATATACTTAATTCATGCATGTTCGTGGTGTCTTGTGCTTTGCGTTCAAACTAAAAACAAACCTAAATACACATCACGTCACGCTCACTGCACGTTGCACAAGCTCGATACCGCCAAGCCTGAGCAAGCACTTGACGATCAATACGTTGTGACGTCACAAGCGCAGTTGAGCCAGCTGCAGGACTTCCCGTAATCGTTGGAATCGTGCCAATTTTTTTATTTTTTTTTATCGAGTCATGGAGGTAACATAACCAAATAAGCGTATTGTGTTTATTTAAACCTGAAATCCTAAAAGTTTTACAAAGTCCTTATATTACACGTCCAAGTACACCTGGAGTTACCATCCTAAAATTATTGATTATATTATGATACCCTTATTATTCAATATGATAAAAACATCTAAATGATGGAAAAACCTCTTAAACTTGTTATGCAAATAAACAACTATAAAACATGAACTGAGATACATTTTAAAATTTTTTGATTATATAAGATTTATTAATACCTTTTCTAAGACTTTGAAACAATACTTATATATTAACTGATCATTATTTGTGTGCAGACAAAGTATTATATGTCTCCGTTTCAAAAGTCAATGGTTTTAGCTGAAGCTTAATAAAACAATAAATTTGTATTCAAAAATAAAGAAAAACTAGAATGAGTTTGTCAAAACCTTTATTTCTAAAATAACGTATATAAAATAAAAACATGTGAGAAGAAGGAAGTTCACGTTTTTAAAACTCTTTGTCACACCCATTTTAAAGCAGCGCCATCTGGCCCGTAACTGCTTGGATTCACGCACTGCTCACAGGGCATGATCAAATGTAGGTGCGCCGTTCAAGGCTTACGCCGTTTCCGCTAGGTGCTTATGTCGACGATGACATCATTGAAGTAAAAGTTTCTCAAAACGCATGCGCTGTCTAAATCGATTGGCGATTCTTTGACGTTTTCAGTGTGAATTCTGGTGCATGAGTTTACCCTGTTGCACGAACGGGAGTTATCAGACAAAGACGTTGTCAAGCTCGAATAGCGTGGTCGTATTTTGCCGGTTTGGTCAACAATCAAAATGTCGGGTCTCTCTCGAGGCCAGCGCCAACAATGTTATCTATGTGATTTGCCCAGGATGCCCTGGGCGATGCTGCACGACTTCTCGGAGCCTGTGTGCCGTGGTTGTGTGAACTACGAAGGGGCAGACCGCATCGAACTGGTCATTGAAACTGCTCGACAGATGAAACGTGCCCATGGTTTCCAGGACAGTAAGACGTTCAAAGGTCAACAGGGTTCGTTGACATGTAGGAGCAACAGTAGTGAAGGTTCTGTAATGTTTACTTCACCAAATGGAACCACACGGGACAGGTTCACCACGCCCGATAACCGAACAAAAGCCCTGTTGGACCACAGTAATCATCGGCTATCTGGGCTTCAAAGAACAGAAGATGTGACCTCTGATCATACAACCATTGCCCGAAACCGCTGCAGCCCAAGCTTGGCAGGCAGGTCGTTGCCTGTGACACTGGCTCTTGCTCATCCATCTTTTCACGTTGCAGTTTCCCTTGCTGGCAGCCGAGCAAGATCCATTACAAACAAAAGACCAAGTGAAGATGATGACAGCTCTAGTGGGTCAGAGAATGGCCAAAAACGGACACTTTTGGATGACCAGGCGATTCGACCTCAACTGATCAGAGGCGAGAGCCTTCCTACTGCAGTTTTAGGTATACCATTCGATCGTTTTAGGAAAGAGCACACACTAGTAGAGAGAGTTTGTTCCTTTGATTCAGCTACAGCAACACAACTGAAATCGATTGGAGCTGTGCATTCAACAGGTAAGTAAAACAATTGTCCTAACGAGAATTTTCCAGCATTGTTTCCTATAAGTTTGCCTTTTTTTGTGTTTCATGTAACTAAAATTTCACACAAAGAGAGTAAAACACCGCATATTATAGAGATTGCTATAACTGGTATAACATGCTGCCACAATATTGTACTCCTGTAATCAACAAACTCGTTATCTTTCCTGTAAATATAATCCAGCTGTAAGATTACAGTTATGTGTACTTTACACTATATACTTAAGGCCTAACGTTAAGTATACTTTCCTTATTTGAAGTAAATATCAATGTAAAAAAGAATATACAAAAACTGGATGGAGTTTTCGGTTTTTTTAGCAGATTCATTCAGAACGAATTGAGGAATTTGGTCGTCTCTGAAACTCAGTTAAGATGTGTCGGACGATTGTTCCCGGATGGAGGATCTGTATTCTTCTGCTTTTAACATTATAGATTGCTACTGTGTTTCAAGCTATTTTTGTATTCAAAAACAATACAGAAATGCACTGAATTAAAGTTGTGTACAGTTGTTCTAGTTTTGTAAAGGTGTCTCTAGGCAGATATTTTCTTACACTCCTGGTGCCAGTGTTCATTTTAATGTGCTTTTTACGTTTCGATTATTGTTGTTCACATAGCCACTACTAGTAGCATCTTCACACTGCGCATTAAGGTCTCATGAAGAAATTACGATTATCTGTAAACTGCTTATCTGAACTTTTTGCAACAAAATTTGGCAAATATGTTTGTGAAACTGAAACTCAGTACCACCTTGTTGTTGTAAACTAATATATCAGTAGATTTCCACCAAGATAAATGTACTTGTAAAAACTAGACGTTGATATGAGCTATTTCAGATCAAAGGTCAACATGTAAAGATAAATAAACATTGTAGCTTCTGTGTGTTTTCGTTGTAATGTTACAACAGATTGAAGTGATATCTGCTTCGTCAATTATGTAAAAAAAATCTTATAGCATGGCTTTCTTTGATCTAGAACTGTTTACATGTTTGATGATGTGCTGACCTATTCTCGTGGGTTATGCTAGTTTCATGTGAAGAAACTTCCATATAGCATGAATGTAGCAAGTCGTCGACGCAGCAGTTTTATGCTCCAAAAGATGATGTTTCTAATTTTTGTTTTATGACTTTTTCCCAAGTCTTTTGTAAAACGAATGTAAAAAAAAATCCCACATTTTTTATGTGGATAAATTTGAAACTTGTTATCATTAGATTGACATGTGTGAAAGTAGGTACTGCGCATGTGTACTGTGGAATCCATTGTTTTGGATTTTGATTGGCCGTTTCTGACGTAATGTGTTTGTGACGTAACACCTTTCATTCGTTGTTCAATGTGTCACACAAGTTAATAATGACAGATATATTACACAGGCAGACGATTTGAAAAAGTTTGTTTTGAATATAGGATATCAAAGTGTTCATGTGACAAACTCAGTTTTTTCCAATCATTGGTGGCACGAAATAGTCACGTAGCAATAACAGTAACGAGCTCACGATGAATTAACTATTATAATAAATTTATGAATTCAGAAAAGCTAAACTGCGAGGTTTTTACAATAGTAAGCTAATAATTAATAGGTGTAAAATTCCCATAAAAATCTGTTTGACGTGTTCGTTTTACCATTGTTACACAAGGCAATTTTATAAGCTGTTACTCCTGTCGCCTGGTGGTCATGCCGTTCGAATCGCCGTGGGTCGCGGGTTCGAATCCCGTCAGGCAGATGCTCGCTCTTCTAGCTGTGGGGGCGTTGTAGTGTGAAGGTCAATCCCAAATTTCATTGGTAAGAACTAGCTCAAGAGTTAGCGGTAGGTGGTGTTGACTATCTGTATTCCCTCTAGTCTATCACTCATACAGTAGGGAACGGCTAGTGTAGATAACCCTCGAGTAGCTTTGCGAGAAATTCAACAAACAAGCTGTCGTATCGTACATCTAAGTATCAACAAGCTTTCATTTCATGCAGTTCTAACAGCTAAAAATTCTATTTAATGTCCACCTTTTTGAGGTTAAAACTAGGTCAATTTGCCATAAACTAACTGAACTTAGGAATGATTTTTGAGTCCTGTCGGATCATCTTAAATCGGTGATTCTCGGGAAGGTTTTACCTGGTGGCGCCCATTTCCTCTCCAAGTAGCCGTCCCTAATTTAGCAGTGAAAGACTAGAGAAAGGCAGTTAGTCTACATCACCCACCAGCAATTCTTCGGCTACTCTTTTATCAACGAATAGTGGGATTGACTGAAACTTATAACGCCCTCACGGCTGAAAGGTCGAATATGTTCGTCGACGGGGATTGAACACGCAGATTGTGAGTCGATTACCCTAGTCACCAGCCCATCTCAGTTCTCTTATTAATGTTAGACAATGAAATTATAATATTAGATATTTTTATTGTGGAAATTAAGTTGTGTCGATCAGAGTTTTAACAGTGGGCGACATATACAGAGTGGGGCAAAAGTACCCACATGTATACAGTTGTTTATTTTAGAATATAGTTTAATTTCAAACTATTTCTCTGTAGCAAACAAGAATAAATTGGTTTCGATTGTTTTCGTAATATTTGACTTATAAGAACCAACCTATAACACCAAACGTACCAATAATATAGTGCTAACTTTATTGTAACTTTTCCACGCTCTGTATATTAAACATTTTGTGATGCTTATTGAACTGTAAATCAAGGAAAGGATATGCAAATCATTGCAATTTATTGTCTTTCAGGATTTTCAAGTATCACAACTACACCCAGTTCCTCACTGAGTTCCGTATCGTCGCTGAGTAATCGCACAGTATCTCCACCAGAGAGCTCTGTTCAGAACGGAAATCATTCCATGACGTCGATGCTGTCAGGCGTTGATTGTTTACCTTCTGGTTCAACAAGGAGCACCGCCTCGGGAGGTGAAATTCCTTCCCAGGTAAATGGACCGCCCCGTCCTCCCTCGGCAACCAGGCATTCTCCTGTTTCGGGAAAGAAAACACCCGTTAGAGGGCGTCAGAACTCTGGTAGCACTGCATCCGATACCGAAGCTAACAACATTAGTAACACCACAGCTGCCACCAGCACAACATCAACAACAACTACACCAACCTCAACACAATCCGAAACCCAACAACCCACCCCTGCTTTAAAGTGTACGCTGTGCAATGAACGTCTTGAAGACACCCACTTTGTACAATGTCCATCTGTGCAAAATCATAAGTTTTGCTTTCCATGCTCTCGTGAAAGCATTAAAAGTCAAAATGGGGCTAATGGGAATGAAGTATATTGCCCAAGTGGTCACAAATGCCCTCTGGTAGGATCTAATGTCCCTTGGGCTTTTATGCAAGGAGAAATAGCAACCATTTTGGGAAATGAACATCACAGAAAAGTAAAGAAAGAACGCGAAGCATAACTTTTGAGTGTGGCTCTTATTTTCATTGAATAACGAGTATTTGTGTTTTTTAGTGTATACATTTTCTGTTGTTATAAGAGCAAAAGTGGCACCTTATGAAATATCGCAAAAGTAAGGACGACGAGACATTTACAAAATTTAATTTTTTTAATAAAGTGGCTTTTACTGTGTGCATGTTTTTTTAAAAGATATTTATATATCTTGTATCAAGTAATCATATCTATTTACCTTCTTATATGGTGATGGTTTGTAATTACAACTGCTTTCCTCAAAAAAGGTTTTATTTGCTTAGATACTAACTTGTTGTTTCTTGCCGCCAATCCCCCAGTTTCTGTGTAGTAAACTTTCCCGAGGAAATTTTTTCAGTGTAATTGTGCTCGAAATTTGTCTAGGACCTTCATTATTGAGGTTCCTTTTTCTGCATTGTTTTTTTTTTTTTTAAGTGGTATGTAACATAAAAGCTTCGTTGTTAATATTTCATCTTTTACTAGTCACATTCTTGTTCACTCCTTTACTGTATGATATTTGTCAAGTGTGGAGAAATAAATAAGTTTGTTGTCTCTTTGGTTCTCTGAAATACCCCCTGCTGCTTGGAACTCGTCCAGACATTCTTTTACAATGGAATATTTTAAGACTCTTTGTCATTAAAGACAAACAAGTTCTGTGTCCGTTCCAATGAACACTTCCAATAAGCTTTGAAATGTAAATCACAGGGCCCTGACAACAAGAGTTATCCATCTAGCTACAGAAATTATATGAAAACCAAGGAAAGAATAGGATGGTTCGATTGCTTAAGCATTCAATGTATTTATATCCCAGAATAATAATTATCAAATAGAAGTAACTGCATAAATAAAGATAGAAACATTTTCTCTTCAAAAAGCCCTTTAGGCCCCAAATTACCACCTTGTTTATATGCCTTTCTCTATCATGTTTTTGATTGTTACAACATTCATTGTAAAGAATGGGTGAAATCACTCATTTTATACGTAAGTACACAGGTGATATCATCAGTGTTTAGTGTAATTAACTACAATACTGATGGTATTCTTATGTATGTTAGTATGGACCCACAAGCAACTTGATGTAAACGTTTATAAAATGTGTTTAAATGGTCGATGAGGTTCATTATATTAAGATTAATAGCTGAACAGTATTTTTTTTTAATTCTTATTGTTTTCTGTTGCTGATTTGGAATGTCGAGAATAATACGATATGTTAATAATTAGCACAATAAGTATATACACTGGGTGCATCTTATGAGTATGTGATCAGCTTCATTGCTACAACTGTAAGATTTCAGGATTTTGCACAATAAGTCCTTCGGACATGAATCATCAAGTATAGAGACAAATCACTTAACAACTTAGCAAAATCCGTCAGATGAGGGTGATAAACTTCTATAACAGTTTTTTCTAATATGGATCAGTATTTTCTGTGGGAACTCTTCGGAATATCAGAAGTTTAAGCTGTTTCTTTAACATATCACAAAAGGATCAGTTTATTCGATGTTACATTGCTGGTATACTCTGTAATTCCTTGGTACACCACGCACTGGGGTATATTTGGCACAGACTTCGTAGTTTCATTCTTGGAACACTATGGATCAACACCGTCTTTCTTACGCCATCACAATAGACACAAATGAACAACGTCTTTGCTAAATTTTTAGAACAACATAAATTAACACCGTCTTTCTTGCGCCATCAAAATAGACACAAATGAACAACGTCTTTGCTAAATTTTTAGAACAACATAAATTAACACCGTCTTTCTTGCGCCATCAAAATAGACACAAATGAACAACGTCTTTGCT